TCCCCTTTGGCTCCATCTCTTCATTCTTTATGGATTTATTGCTCCACTCATTTCCAGTAGAATATTGGTTACCTAAAAACCTGGGGAGTTGATCTTTCAATATTTATTTATTTATATTTTTGCCTTTTAATACTGTTCATGGGGTTCTCAAGTCAAGGATACTGAAGTTGTTTGCCATTCTCTTCTCCAGTGGGCCACATTTTGCCAGAATGCTCCACTAAGACCCGGCTGCCTTGGGTGGGCCTACACAGCATGACTCATAGTTTCATTGACTTAGACAAGGCTGTGGTCCATATGATCAGTTTGGTCAGTTTGCTGTGATTGTAGTTTTAATTCTGTCTGTCCTGAGATGGAGCAGGATAAAAGGTTTATGGAAGCTTCTTGATGGGAGAGACTGACTTTGGGGGAATCTGGGTCTTGTCCTGATGGGTGGCTCTTGCTCAGTAAACCTTTAATCCAATTTTCTGTTGATGGGTGGTGCTGTGTTCCATCCCCATTCTTTACACTGAAGACAAACTATTGTAGGGGTAATGAAGATAACATCCTCCTTCAAAAGGAATTGTGCAGGTAGTCTTTTATTCAGTGCCCCTGACCATTCAGTAGGGCACTGTTGACTCATGTCTCAACCAGAGACTCCAGGACATACACAGGGAAATATGGCTCAGTCTCTTGTGGGGACACTGTTCCTTTATCCTGGCTCCTGGTTCATACAATGCTTTGTGTGTGCCCTCCAAGAGTCTATTTCCCCAGTCCTTTGGAAGATCTGTAATCAAATCCCACTGGCCTCCAAACTCAAAGGGATTATCAGTCCCTTTCTCAGATCTCCAGGTAAGGGAATCTGTTATGGGTCCTAGAACTTTCCTAACAGTGCAATTATTTCTTTTGTATACTTGTTCTGCAGTTTGTGGGTCATCTGCTCAGTGGCTCAATGGGGGCTAATCGAGACCTCCTCCAAGAGGGCTTATGCTACATGTTTTGTGACCCATGTCTGCTGCACCCAAAACCCCTGACCTCTCAGCAGGCCACTGCTGACCCAAGTCTATAAAGAGGTCCTCAAACACTCAGTCAGGACTGGCTCATTCTCTGTGGGGTCTCTGGCTTTTGGTGCACACAAAGTTTGTGTGAGCCCTCAAAGCATCTCTGGTAAATATGGGGTTTGATTCTAAATGCAATTCTGTCCCTCCTACCAACTTGTTGGGGCGTGGCATTTGCCCTTGGATGTGTTATCTTTTTTCTTTTCTCTTTTTGGTGGGATCCAACATTATCTTCTTGATGGCTATTCAGCAGAGTTGTTATTTTGGAGTTCTCACAGGAGAAGATGAGCATAGGTCCTTCTACTCTGCCCCCTGGAGAGAACACTACTGCCTTCAAAACTTTCCTAGGCATGGTCATGATAAAGAATCCAATACACAGCAGAAGATCAAGAAGGCAACTCAGGAAATGGCTTCACTCACACCCCAGATCAAATTCAAGGAAAGTGCTGTGAAGCTCATTGTCCTTGTGGGAACAGACTTTTATGGAGAAGCACTGTGGGTAGTGTGGACTAGTAGTCACCATGTGTTGGGTCTGTTGGATGACCTTCAGTTGCAACTTTCCACTCAGTGCCCTGATGCCACTGGCGTGCCAGCGATCCATGGGCCAGGTCTTTCCTATGGGACATCTCTTTCCAGATCTCTTCAGGAAAACTAGAGACACCAAGGGAACATTTCATGCAAAATTGGGCACAGTGAAAGACAGAAAATGTTTGAACCTAAGAGAATCAGAAGATATTATGAAGAGATGGCAAGAATACACGGAAGAACTATACAAAAAACATCTTAATGACCCAGATAACCACAAAGGTGTGATCACTCACCTAGAAACAGACATCCTGGAATGTGAAGTCAAGTGGGCCTTAGAGAGCATCATTATGAACAAAGCTAATGGAGGTGATGGAATTCCACTTGAGCTCTTTCAAATCCTGAATATGATGCTAAAGTACTGCGCTCAATATGCCAGAATATTTGGAAAATCAGCAGTGGACACAGGGATGCAAAAGCATATTAAAAAGAGACATTATTTGAGAATGAAGGTATAGTAAAAACTATGGTTTCTCCAGTAGTCATGAATGGGTGTGAGCACTAGACCATCGAGAAATCTGAGAATCAAAGAATTGGTGCTTTTAAATTGTGGTATTGGAGAAGACTCCTGGGAGTTCCATGGACTGCAAGGAGCTCAAACAAGTCAATCCTGAAGGAAATCAGTCCTGAATTTTCATTCAAAGAACTGATATTGAAGCTTAATCTCCAATACTTTGGCCACCTGATTTAAGAACTGCCTCATTGGAAAAGACCCTGATGTTGGGATAGATTGAAGGCAAGAGGAGAACTAGAGGACAGAGGATGAGATGGTTGGATAGCATTACTGATTCAATGGCCCTGAGTTTGCCAGAGCTGGGCGAGTTGCTGAAAGACAGGGAAGCCTGGCATGCTGCAGTCCATAGGGTCTCACAGAGTCTGATACGACTGAGGGAGTGAACAGAGCTGAAAGTATGTGCTGTTGGGGGGGGGGGGGGCGGGGCGGAAACAGCTATGGGAAATCCTACTTCTTTAAATTTTCTTTTTCCACCCAAATACACCGGATCGAACTCACGGGCTCCTGAAGGTTCTCTATTTCTTGTTTTGATAGGCCAACACTTTACCACTGAGTTATGAAGGCAGTCCACAAAAACGATGTAACTACTGTATTTTACTTTTTACTTTGTATGGGTTTTAAAATGGCAAGCCACTCCAAAGTTATTTCCTGGAGAATTACATGGCCAGAGTAGCCTGTGCGCTTACAATCCCTGGTAGGAAAAGACTGAGCTAGTAACACTAGTGATTGTAGCCACTAGAGGGAGCTGTCTTCCCATTTCCTCCGGCATACTTCATGACGTCAGTCGTATTCCCTAGTGGGCGTGACAGAGAGTCAGGAAAAGCTTTCGACGACAAGCGTAGCCATCGCCATTTTGTCTCGGCGTTTGAGGTAAAATCGTGTATCCGCGAAAGGGACAGCAGAGAGACCAGGGAAAGCTGAGGCTGCAGCGACTATCGTTAGGTATTCGGCGGGGGAGGAAGAGCAAAAAGAGTGCGGTGTTGGGTTTGGCTTCTGTTCACGTGGAGTTGCCAGCGGAGCCACCTGGAGAATCGGAATTGGTAACAAATGGCTTTTCTCCGCTACCCTCCCTGGCAGCATTATCAGGAAGGGATTTTTAGGCAGCTTTTTTTTGGTAGCGTTTTCAGGAAGGGTTTTCAGGAGCTCTTGGGACACAGGAGAAAGGGACAGCAGGGGGTGAGTTGGTTGGATGGCATCACTGACTCAGTGGACATGGGTTTGGGTGGACTCGGAGAGTTGATGATGGACATCGAGGCCTGGCGTGCAGCATTTCATGGGGTTGCAAAGAGTCGGACAGGACTGACCGACTGAACTGTACTGGGATACCCTAAACTGAGCTTAAGGGGCGGTGTAGGTGCCGGCACAAGGGCATAACATTTAAGTGCGGGGTGAATGTTACCGTTTCTTCCCTTGGGTTCCAAAATCGGACCTTAGGGCTCCAGCGGCCCAGGTCCAACGTATCTAGTCAAAAATGTTATTCCCTAGTATGTTACAGCACCAGGTTCAGAATTGCTAGTCATGTATTCCTATGAAGACCTTAAATTAAAATTATTACACTCACAGCTTCCAAGAGGAACTAGAGCCCAGGCAAGGTCTGTTTACCCTTCAGTTCCCGCGAAGAGACCTTTCTCTGACATCTTTGCTTAAGACACCGTTTTACTCCCTCGTTTTCTCCTCCTAGTCACTTTTAAGACGTATGTATGTATGTATGTATGTATATATACACACAAGGCCAGTGACTACTGCTGACCCTAACGCCTGCTCAGAGACCGCGGCCACACTGCTCAGCCTGATTGTAATTGCTTACCATGGAGATCACACTGGGCCCAGTATTTCCAGTTAAAATACATTTTTTGAACATGTCAGTTTAAAGACATTTCATTTCTACACCACCTTTAAGAAATGTTCCTATACCCAAGATTTCTGCTTAGTTGCCCAGGTCCGCAAACTCGACTTTAGCATTTGCATCAAGAAACGCCTCTGAACCCAACTTTGTTTTACAGTAACATGCTTTACTCATAAGACATCATATACTGTTGGAGAATAACCAGTTTTTTTCATTGTTTCACAGTTCTTTTCAAATAACTCCAAGTATCAGCCCTCAGAACCCCCTAAGGAATAAGACACCAGGAAGGAATTCTTTGGATATATAGTCCTTCAGACATCCTTCCCCACTTCCCTTCATCACTGTGGCAGTGTTTGATAACACCATGTCAGATTTTGGTCCTAAGATTTCTGTTAGAGGCTCATAGTCCCAGGCTTGCTTGGAGCTCTATCTGTGGATTCAAAAAGTAGCTAAATTTCAGCTTTTTAAAAGATCGTGTTACTCCACATCTGGCCTTGTAGTATACCCTAAGGGCCTTGGGAGGCCCCCGGCATCCTTATTGAGAAGCTGGCAATCTTGACTTTCAGTCTCATTGGCACATACGGCATTATCATATCCCCTCCTCCAACAGCCTTAGATCAGAAAGTATCCCCTTCTCAGCATCTATTCAGCCTGCATGAAACCCAGCCAGACTTCATGATATAGCCAGTGGGTGGTCAGTGAGTGTTTAGTCTGTTATCTCCCTGAAGCTTTTCTTTTTTCTCCTCTAGGGAATGTCAGCTGTCTGAGCTCGGCCTTCTGTTTCCTTCATCTCAGAGTGGCTTTGGTACCTAGCATATTTTCATTCTTCTTTTCTTAGATGAGATTATTAGTACTAAATCCCTTCTCTCCCTCCGAGTTACCATTAACAAAAAAGTCTGCCTACATCTGGCTCATCTCTGACTTTTTTTCTAAAGATGTCTAGGTTGCCACTGTCAAAGAAACAGTGTATGTCTGGGCCTGATCAAAACCAAGTCCTGATTTCTCCTCTGCTTGTTCTGTAATGTTCAAAGAGCCATCAGGATCAGCCAGCGTGAGTTTCTCTAAGATAAATCTTGGAGGTGGGATGGTGTTGTGGTTGGTGGGAAAGTATCTCTGTTATTTAAGCTTTTGCTTTATCTTGTTGAAACTTTTTTTCCCTCCATTCCTAGGGAATGCCAAAAAAGGGCAGTGAAACAGACATTGATGAAGGTCTTTACTCTAGACAGTTGTAAGTGTGACTACACCTGGTTATATGAAGCAGCAGAGGGACACAGAAGATAGCGGAGGGTTAGCCAAGCCCTGACCGAGCCGTCTTCAAATCTTGCAGATATGTCCTCGGCCATGAGGCTATGAAGCATCTCCAGGCATCCAGTGTGCTGGTATCAGGACTTTGGGGCCTAGGGGTGGAGATTGCCAAGAATGTCATCCTTGATGGTGTCAAAGCTGTCACCCTGCATGATGAGGGCACTGCTCAGTGGGCTGACCTCTCGTCCCAGGTATTCTTTCCTGACTCCCTTCCCTTGCCCAGGCACCAAACAGCCCGATCTCTGCATTCACGTCACTTTTTTCCTTTCTGTACCTTCTTGTAGTTCTACCTGCGAGAGGAGGACATTGGTAAGAGCCGTGCTGAGGCATCACAGCCCCACCTTGCTGAACTCAACCACTATGTGCCAGTCAGCACATACACTGGTGCCCTTGTTGAAGACTTTCTTAGTGGTTTCCAGGTATCTTGCAGCATCAACTTGCCTTACCTTCCTCAGATCCATTTTCTGGTTTGTCCAATATATTTTTTAATGGACTGGGCCTCTGGGTGCTGATACTCTGCTTGGGGTTTCCCAGAGAACTTGGGCACTGGAACTCTTGTTATAGTGGTAGGAACTTACCCTTGTGAATAGGGAAGGACATTCGGAAAAGGACTCTTTCCAAATCATTGCTGAGCAGGGTTAGTTTTGTCCTGTTTTGTTTAGTATTAAAATGGAAACTAACGAAAGTGTATGATTTGGGGTTAAATGCCAACTTTTACAGAGTGTGTAAAAGGGCATACTAGGTTGTAGGCAGGTAGGAGTGGGTGTTCATTTTTCAGAGAAGTGGATTAGTTGGTCTTCAGATTCTGTCCCGTTAATACCTCTTTACATTTCTTGTCATAGTGTGGGAATTCATATTTATCTTGTACTTTCACCCTCACTGAGTATTGTTACAGTCTTTGTAGACTGGGACCTGGGGACTAGAGTTGACCAGAAGAGGGAAGCAGGGGACCCAAGTCTCGGGTGAAACAAGGTTGCTTTATTTGCAGAAATGCATGTTTATATATCTTCATACAAGGCAGCTTTAGGCAGTAAAAAAAAATGAGCAAAAACAAAGCCAGGCAAATAGCAATCTTTAAAGGGCCAGAAAGTGTTCCATATCCTGAATAAGAGGGGCATAACTGAATAGATTACATTTAAGTAAAAGGTCACTGAAGAGAGTCACTGAAAGGATTCTAAGTAGGTGCCCTTTTGTCATGATCTCAGTCTTGAGAACTGCATGCAACTCTGCTCATTCCTGTTTTCCAGGAATTGATAAGAAAATAGAGAGTCCTTGAGAAATGACACCCAAAAGAAGAGAATAACATATTGGATCCCTTAAAGTTGAACATCCCCCCGATAATTCCCCCTTTTTGATTTGTTCATAATTGGGGGTGACTGTAGATACTTTTGTGAGAAAGGCCGTGACCAATTGAGCTTGTTTAGTTTGAACAACTTTAGTTGAAAGACATCGGTATACTACAAATGTAATCACCAGGATAGTTATCAGTGTTACAGTTTCAGATCCGATACTACATGAAATGTTTCAAAACCATCCTTGCTTTCCAGCCCAGACAATTTATCAGTCAGCTGTTCAGTAAAGGTTTCTAAATTGTTGGAAGAGGGTAGACTCTTAGAGAAGTTTTCCAAAATTTTGTTTTGCCACAATTACACATTTAAGGAAGTGTTATTATGTATATTTTGCAGTTTAAATTTGGTTTGTTCTCAATTTTAAGCATTGTGGTTGAACCAACAGCAGTGATACAATCTTGTGTAGGATTCCAACCACAGTTTAATAATATTTGTTTTAATAAAGCTATTAATTGATCTCCAACCCATTGGATGGCTGTTTCTAATTTCTGAATTTTATCTTCAACTTTTTCATCTATCTGAACCTGAGGGACCCATATAGTATGAGCATCTTTAGTCCAACTTTGAATAAAGTTTTGTGTTTGAATTGAAGTTTGTAAAGCAGTGTCTGCAACACTAGCAGTAGCACAAATGGCTATTAATCTGAAAATGCCAGGAATCAGCCATCCAATTAACTGCTTAGATCGTCAGAGTAATTTATTGGGTAACCAGGAGGCAAGTCTGTCATAGGACCTTCTTCCCACTGTCATTGGAGATCTGCTGGCAGCCATAGACTTAAGTGGAGATCAAAGAATCAAAAGGGACTTCTTTTTTAGAGAAATAGAGCAGTTAAGACAAGTATACAATTTGTAATCTCTACAAGTCATAGAAAGTAAAGCCTTATTAAGTTTTAAGTTTCCTTTGGCCATAACAAAAGGAGGGGGAACACAAGCTTATATAAAATATGAATGATTATAATGGAAGGAATAGTTACTATGATTACAACTAGTCTCTGTAAAATATCTAGTGCAAGTTTCAAGTTTTTCAGTACTCACAGCAAGTCTCCAGACGTCCCAATGTTTAGGTCCAGTCTGTATATTGAGGAGGATTCGAGGGCAAGGAGGTGCCATTCCACTGTCAAGCCAGCCAGGGAGTCCTTTGTCATGGAAGTGTTTAACTGAACTGTTGGTAATCTTCCATGTTACTTGAGTAACATAATAACACATAGTACTGTTAATATCATCTGAGCAGTTAGATAACCACATGTCATAGGGTCCACAATCAACAATGGTGTAATTGGCCACAAACATTAATTTCCCTGATTTAGCTTGACATATATCCCCAAAAACAGGAGTGTATTTAAAGTGCTTATAAGTAAACACCTTACATTCCAACTTTTTTCCTTCTCCTAGAGTTTTGGTTGTATTGACATGGTTCTCATAAAAGGACAGGGCAGTAAGCAGTCCAAGCAATGTGCCGAAGTTCTTTTTTGGAGGCAGGACAAAAGTCCATGTTTGTTGAACATGAATACATGATACTGCTGGGCCCATGTGTAAAAGGAAGGATTTAATAGCCTAGAGAAATGTTAATCAGTCTGCCTTCTTTCTCAGGATGAGAGGGCCCCTCCAAGTTCCAAGGAAAAGGCATACGTATTGAGTCATTAGTGGATTAATCAGTCCTATGTCTGTCCATTTTGTAACCTGCAATAAAGGAGGGTTAGGTATGGCCCAATAAGTGTGATTAATCAAGTCAGCCTGAGTGGTAGAAGCAAAAGCAAGCAAAGCAAGCGTGGCAACAAAAATATTTTCAGGATTCCGAGGAATTCTCTGTTCAGAAATGAGATTTTCAACTTGATTAGTAAGGATTTTTATCTGTCCCCAAGCAGGGAGATAGAAGGGCAGTGATGTTCAGTGTGGCATTTCTTGGCAGTTTTTAAAGCCACGATGGCTTGTACTGGAAACTCTTCCTTCTGGGGGTGTTGCCGTTTCTTCTCTGTCTTGAAGGCCGGTGGCTCCCCTGGGGCAGATCTTCTGAAGAGGGAAGCAACTGATTCTGTAGGATCAAGCTGGAGAAATACAAGCATACCCATTTTCCCTGTAATAGTAATTTCCCAAATTTTCATCGTTTAGTCAACCCATCTTGATACCAAATAGGCAGAGGAAGTGAGGTGTCCTTCAATGCCAAAATGTTTTTCTGCTTTTGTCAAAATATCTCCTTGTGGTAAGTTTAAAAAATGTAAAACAAAGCTGTATTAATAGTAGTTATAGGATTAAAGAGTATATTGTGTTGGAATCTAGTGAAGTCTGCTCTGGATAAGGAGGATAGATGTGTCCCTGTGTGTTCCCCCTTTTTTAATTGTTTTATTTATAGTTTCAATGTTCAACTATGTCCTGTGCTTGTGCATTATAAGGAATACCTATAATATGTTTAATAGAAAATGAGTGTAAAACTTGTTGGAATTGTCTAGAAATACAGGCAGGGCCATTGTTTTTATAGAACTAGGTGTTCTCTTTATTGCAAAGCAAGTTAACAGGTGGGTTATAACATGTTGTATAGTTTCACCTCGGAGAGGTGTGGCCCATATAAAAGAAGAATTTGTATCAGTTGAGACATGTAAGAAGGCAGAGGGAGAAAGTTCAGGTCAATGAGTTATATCTATTTGCCATAGTTCATTGGGTTGTAATCTTTGAGGTTTGATACCTTGTGTAATGGGTTGAAGATGTAGGGGCCTATGAGTAGAGCAGTTATTAATGGTTTCTTTAGCATGTCGGTATGGGATTTTTCCAGATTTGATGTAATGAGCCAACATTATTGTGTAATAGAGCATGTTGGCCACATAATATTGACATATAATGGAAGACTTCATCATTTTTTGAGGCAGTACAGTCTGTTGATATCGTTTGTGAGGCCTGCTATGATTAGGATAAGGGAGAGAGAAAGCAAATCTCTCTAGGTCTAGAGGGTGTAAAGGTAAATAATATTCTAGAAGGGACTGTTTGAGGAAAAAGAAGAGAATCATTTATGACTAGTATATTCACGGCAGCATTGTTGGAGGCTGCCGTGAATGGGAAAAGATGGAGTTTGTCCCTGGTTTTTGTTGATGGGGACCTGGTGAGTCCCCATCTTTGAGTTTCCTGAAATAAGATTTCACCCAACATCATATTTAGGTTGACATTTTTTAGCCCAGTGTCAGAGTTGGACTGTGAAGAAAGCTGAGCGCCGACAAACTGATGCTTTTGAACTGTGGTGTTGGAGAAGACTCTTGATAGTCCCTTGGACTTCAAGGAGATCCAGCCAGTCCATCCTAAAGGAGATAAGTCGTAGGTGTTCATTGGAAGGACTGATGCTGAAGCTGAAACTCCAATACTTTGGCCACCTTATGTGAAGAGTTGACTCATTGGAAAAGACCCTGATGCTAGGAGGGATTGGGGGCAGGAGGAGAAGGGGACGACGGAGGAGGAGATGGCTGGATGGTATTACCGACTCAGTGGGCATGAGTTTGAGTAAATTGCGGGAGTTTGTCATGTACAGGGAGGCCTGGCGTGCTGCTATTCATGGGGTTGCGAAGAGTCGGACATGACTGAGCAACTGAACTGAACTGAACTGATCTTCTTATGACAGTGAGGGCAGACTTTTGGAGGTTTTTGAATAGTTTCAATTTGTATGTGCACGTGTGTGTGTGTGTGTGTGTGTGTGTGTGTGTGTGTTCGGGCAATTATTTTAATGGCTCTTATCTCCATAAACAAAACATCTTTCATTTTCCTTTTTAAAGGTAGCAGCCATTGTTTTGCTAACATTTGCATTTTCTGAGTTTTTAATCTTAAGTTGTGACAAGCCTTCAAATAATAACATTCTTGGTCTCATGAATTGGAGCAATGGCTCTTTGATATTTCTGATTCGCATTCTCATATATAAGCAGTTTTTCTCACTGTATTTTGGCTTCTTCTGTGAGAACATTATGGGAGATAGCAACTCCCAGTCTAGCTAAAACATCAGCATAGGCTTCATTAGGTCCTTGTAATATCTTTGTGTAGCTACCTTTAGGTTCCCCTTGAGGAGTAATTTGATCCCAAGTGTCAAGGGCAAGTTCTTTCAATTGTTCATGCAGTCAACAGATACAGGGCACTGTATCTGAACTTGCACCGAATCAAATTGCCCTGTACCGGTTAACATTTCAAAAGTAATTTGGTTTTGGGGAGTGCCAGTTCGAGCGTTAGAATTGGCATGATCTTGGGCCACATTGTGAAACTGTATTACCTACTGAAGATATTTTCTTGGTTTAAGAAGAATTTATATCAAAATTTGCCAACCATAAGGAATAAAATTTTCAATAGAAGATGCCATAGAGTTTAGTAAAAAGTGAATAAGGGCCATACATAGTTGCAACCTTTTTCATTTTCTGCATGTGAGAAAAACCAGTGCCTTCATATTGAGCTATTAGTTGCCCTTGAGCATTAATATTTCTTTACACAGGAAAAGCAAGAAGATCATTGGCCTCAGAGACTTGAGATTGGAAAGCCAGTAAATCAGAAAGCCTTCGTGGTGAAGGAGAACGAGTAGATCGTCTGTATTCTTAAGTATGAGTGTGTGTTAGGGCCTTATTATTGTCATCAAATGTATTGTTGCTTTAGTGTCAAAGAGAGCAGCAGAAGAATCATCATCAGATTCATTTTGTCTTTTAATTAAGGGGAACTTAGTTTTCGTGCCTGTTACTAGAGCAGGAGGAGTGCTTGGGGCAGTCGGAGCAGGGATGATGGGAAAGTTTTGAAACATTTTCTGTTGCTCTAAGTGGGCCTTTTGTAAAGTCTTATCATCTAATTTATAGTCATATAATGAGAGTTAGGCTTGTTGATGATATTTGGGGGGCTAGAATTGCCTTGAAATGGCAAGATTATGGCTTTAATGAAGGCCCACAAGGGCCAGAAATCTATTGGAATGTTTTCTCTCTGTCTTGTGGTTTAATTTTTTTTAACCCAGTTCCAACTTTTTAAATTGGAACTGCTTTCATCAAGGAACCAGGGATTATATTCAACCACTGTTTGTAGACAAGCCTCTATCTGCTGATGTGAAACCAAAAGTCCTGAACCTTAAATAAATGATGAAGTAAAGTAGAAAAGTGGTGGGGGCATTCCAGCCATTTGTCACATAACCGAAACTCCGTAGGTCCTAACAGTCACTCCATCTGCTTGTCAAGGGCATTCACCAGGTCCCTGTTGGGGCGCCGCTTGTCACAGTCTTTGTAGACTGGGACCTGGGGACTGGAGTCAACCAGAATTGGGATGCAGGGGACCCAGGTCTCGAGTGAAACAGGGGTGCTTTATTTGCAGAAATGCACATTTATATATCTTCATACAAGGCAATTTGTAGTAAAAAATTTTGAGCAAAAACAAAGCCAAGCACATAACAGTCTTCAAAGGGCCAGAAAGTATTCCATATCTTGAGTAAGAGGGGTGTAACTGAATAATTACCTTTAAGTAAAATGTCACTGAAAGGAATCACTGAAAGGAGTCCTGAGACTCCTTTCATGAGTCATCTTTCTCATGATCTCAGTCCTGAGAACTGTGTGCACCTCTGCTCGCTGCTGTTTTCCAGCAACTGATAAGGAATAGAGAGTCCTTGAGAAATGGCACACAAGAGAATAACATATTGGATCCCTGAAAGTTGAACGTCCCCTGACAGAGTATGAAACATGTACTTTATATTTGTAGAAGAGGTCAACTCGTAAGCTGGAGCCCTGACCTTCTGCCAGTTCCTGACTTGCCTTTCTCCTTTTTTTTCCTTACTCCCCTTCACCTCAGTGCCAGTCCTTTTTGCAGTGAGCTGCTTTCTTGTTACAGGTGGTGGTCCTTACCAACTCTCCTTTGGAGGACCAGCTGAAGGTGGGTGAGTTCTGTCACAGGCATGGAATCAAGCTGGTGGTAGCAGACACTCGAGGTCTGTTTGGGTGAGTTCCACCTTCTCTGTTTATCCCTAACGCCTTCCTAGGCCAGGCCAAAACCACCCTGGCTCTCAGTGCCCTAATGATTCTCTTAGGAAAACCATGTATACAAGTCTGCATGTCCACCTCTGCCCATACTGTGTAAGCACTGTCATGTTACCAGCATGATGCCTCAGTACCCGAGTTCCAGGTCTCAGTCCTGTTTTCTCCTTTTACAGGCAATTGTTCTGTGACTTTGGAGAGGAAATGATCCTCACAGATTCCAATGGGGAACAGCCTCTCACTGCTATGGTTTCTATGGTTACCAAGGTATGGAGTCTGGCCCAAGGCAGGCATGTTTGTAGCCTTAGTCCTTGTCTATGCTCCGGGTACCCTGATTCTACATGTGAGACTTTCTTTAACTTCTCTTCCAACCAGGGCAACCCTGGTATTGTCACTTGCCTGGATGAATCCCGACACGGATTTGAGAGTGGTGACTTCGTCTCCTTTACAGAAGTTCAGGGCATGAATGAACTCAATGGCATCTGTCCACTAGAGATCAAAGTCCTGGGTATGCTAAGCTGGGGGTCAGGAAATGATTACCTAGAACGAAGGGAGAATTGTCCCTGTGGTCATATGTATGTATACTGAATTGCACCACAGACCAAGAGGCTATAACTCTCTAATCTCTCACGTGGGATTTACAAGACATGTGTCCATGTAGCCTTAGTTGAGAACTGTGAACTGAACCTAGAAGCAGAAAGATGAATACCGCTAGTATTTGATTGCATTTGGCTCATTGGTTGCACCTCTCTTTAATTTTTTCTTTAACTTTTAGACTGTGTAAATGTAAATTCTGCATTTGCTTTTCCAAGTAATACTTTATCACTGCACACACACACCAAAATAATTGCAATTTCATGTGCGTCATAAACCTCTTCAAGCATTGAAAAGCTAGAACAGCTTTTTTATTCTGTAATTGCCAAATTAAAATTATTTGTTGGGGTTTGACAGTTCCATGTTCTCTCCATTTAGATGTGCATCCAGTACCATTTTGCTTCCTCTCAAGCTCTATCAGATGTTGTACTTTAGTGGCGACTCTTCTTGCTTTTTGATGTTTGAAATTGTCTTTATTTCAGAATGCCTGATTTTGGACAAAAAAGTTTTTGCAGAGTGTAGCATTCTAGATATCATTGCTTAAAGATGTGGTACTGTTCTTTCTTGCCTGTTTTCCCCACAAAGTCTCCTGTTCTTACCCTTGTTCCTTTGCATTTAACGTTCTTATATTTTCTATCACTGATCTTAAGAAATGGATTGATGATTATATACCTTAGTATATTTTGCAATTATGATAGCAGACCTTGGTGTAATTTTCTCGGTGCTTCCTTTCAAACTTATACTACCTTTGAGACCATAGCTTTATCAGATTTGGAATATTTCTGCACCCTCCCACCCCCACCACCTTCTTTCGTCTCAGTACTACTTTCTCAGCCCCCTCCCCACTCCATCATCTCTTTCTAGATCTCCAGTTACATGCATTTTAAGCCACGTTACTCTTTGGTTGTCTCCATGCTCTTTGTGGTACCATGGATAATTTCTTCTACTTTATTAAATCTACTACTTTTTTCTTGTGTGTTAATTTGTTAAACATACCAAGTATATAAAATCAGTGCACACATGCATGCATGCTAAGTCACCAAAGTTGTGTCCAAGTCTTTACGACTCTGTAGAGCGTAGTCTGCCAGGCTCCTCTGTCCCTGGGATTCTGCAGGCAAGAAAACTGGAGTGGAATACCATTTCCTCCTCTAGGGGATCTTCCCACTGAGGGCTCAAACCCGGGTCTCCTTTAATGTCTCCTGCATTGGCAGGCAAGTTCTTTACAACTAGCACCACCTGTCACGTCATAAATATATTTCATGTGTCAACAGTTCCCTGTAATCATGAATATAGATAGTACAGAATGATTTGGAAGATATAAAAAAGACATATGGCTGCTTCAAGTGAAAAAAATACATGGAATCTAATAAATCCCAACAAAGGTGTGAGGCAGAAAAGTTTTTTTAAAGAAGTAATATTTCAGAGTTTACAGATTTGATGAAAATTAAAGCCAGAGACTCATGACCTGGAAATTTTTGATGGATGGAAGATAATTGTGGATTTTAGAGTTTCAAGCTGTGTTTTTTTTGTTCCTTTCATAATTGTTGAGCTTATCTCATTGATGTTGGATCCTTTAAGAGCTTGCTGCTTTTTGCTCCGGAGTGACATATTAGACATAGAGTACCTATGCTATTGAAGAAATCAGCATTGTGGGGTTTTTTGTTTGTTTTTAATGAAAGTATTTTTAATTGAAGTGCAGTTGACTTAGAATCTTGCGTTAGTTTCTACTTTAGAGTAATGTGGTTTAGTTGTATATACATTCTTTTATGTATTCTTTTCCATTATAGTTCATCACAGGGTATTGGATATGGTTCTGTGTGCTATACAGCAGGACCTTGTTGTTATCCATCTTGTGTGTAATAGTTTGCATCTGCTAATCGCATACTTTGAATCCAAGGGAGAGGTGGGTGGTGGAGAGGGAGAGTTGGGTGGTTCCTCCATTCTGGTTTTGGTAGTTCTGTTGATCTTGGGAGGGTGTGAATTGACAGATAAATCTTAATGCTTCTTATCCTCTAGGTCCTTACACCTTTAGTATCTGTGATAGCTCAAATTTCTCTGAGTATATCCGTGGAGGCATTGTCAGTCAGGTCAAAATAGCTAAGAAGATCAGCTTTGTAAGTATGTGCAGGAGGGTGTACTGTAAGGTTCCAGGTATTTCTCACTTCATTTTGTTTTGCTTTTCTAGTTCTGATGTGGTCTTCTCTGTTCTCCACCAGAAATCCTTGCTCAACTCACTGGCAGGGCCAGACTTTGTGATAACAGATTTTGCCAAGTATTCTCGCTCTGCTCAACTGCACATTGGTTTCCAGGCCTTGCACCAGTTCTGTGCTCAGCATGGCAGGTCCCCTCGGCCCCACAGTGAGGTAGGTGGGTGGGCAAGCCAGCCCGGGTCCTTGCACCAAAGCTCTACCATTACTGCTTGTCTTTACTTTTTCTGCTTGTCCCTCTCCCCACAGTGGCATGACTGAGTCTTTGTTTCTTGTGTCCTACCAGAAGGATGCAGCAGAACTGGTGACCCTAGCAGAGGCTGTGAAGGCTCAAGCCCCGCCAGCAGTGCAGCAAGACAGTTTGGATGAAGACCTCATCAGGAAGCTGGCTTACGTGGCTGCTGGGGATCTAGCACCCATGAATGCCTTCATTGGGGGCTTGGCTGCTCAGGAGGTTATGAAGGTAGGTGTGGGTAGGATAGTGGTGGAGTGGGCTCGGTTTCTTTCTGACTCTGCTACTTGCCGTCAGGCTCTGATTAACCGGGGATCACTTCCCCTTTCTTACCTCCTCCTCAGGCCTGCTCTGGAAAGTTTATGCCTGTTATGCAGTGGCTGTACTTCGATGCCCTTGAGTGTCTCCCTGAGGGCCAGGAGGCTCTTTCAGAGGACAAATGCCTTCCAGTATGTGATGGGGGCCCACAGAGAAGGTATTACTTTGGTCCTCTCTGGTGTACAATTTCTCTAATCCTCTCCTCCCTTCACCTGACACAGTGCCAGAACCGTTACGATGGGCAGGTGGCTGTATTTGGCTCCGGCCTGCAAGAGAAACTGGGCAAGCAGAGATACTTCTTGGTGAGAACTCCTGTTGGGAACAAGCTCCTTTTATTTATCCTAGCTCTGGCCACCTCTTCTGGAGTCTTTGCCTTAGAAGGGAGGGTGTTTGATTGTACCCTCATCTCTTTCGTTTAGCATTTTGTTTTCATGCCAGTTCCTTTGTTCCTGGTCTTCTGCCTCTGTCCTGATGACCTTGCGTTTTTATGCTCCTGGGATTTAAATATTCAATACTAGAGTCTCTTGCCCAGCCCTGTCTTACAGTCTCCGAGAGGAATAGGACTGAGGGGTGGCTTTGTTATCCGAGTGCCACTAACCATTACCTCTCTGTCTTCTTGACTGCCTCCCAGGTGGGTGCAGGGGCCATTGGCTGTGAACTGCTCAAGAACTTTGCCATGATTGGGCTAGGTTGTGGGGATGGTGGGTCAATCACGGTAACAGACATGGACATCATCGAGAAGTCAAATCTGAACCGACAGTTTCTGTTCCGTCCTTGGGATGTCACGGTGAGTGAGATGGACAGGGTTAAGTTGTTGGGTTTTTCTCCTTTTCTTTGTTATCCGTCATGCTAACTTAGGTCTCTTTTGTTTACCCCTTTCCTTCAGTTCCTCCCTTATTTTTTCTCTATGGTTCAGTCTTTGAGCAGATATTCACTGTGTCTTGCATTTGTCATTTTGCATCTCTCCCTACTCTTTTTCCTTTGATTTTTAGTTACGGCTTATGTGAGACTACAGAAGCTAGGATATAGAGGAAAGTCTTATGTAAAAGTCCGGGTTATTTTTTGCCTGCTAAGTGTCTGCCTTTCATTTTATCATGCAGACACTAGGCACTGCTTTGATAGTTGAGATATATAAGAATATAGAGAAGTTTCTGCTCTTCTCTGATGCAGTGACATAACATTGAGAGTTTCTCAAAGTTCAGTGGAGGTAGATAGCACTCTTTCCTCAAGCCCATAGATGTTTCAAGACTTACTAGGACACTATTTTGCTTTTGTTTTCATTTCACCAGCTGAAGGGTGACTCTCCCTCTCTACTTTGAACAGCTATCTGACAAGAACACAGGGTTTTCCAAATGACTCGATCAGTGCATGATGGTACAGAATCGTGCATTAAGGAAATTCGCTTTCAATTCTAAATGAATTGAAAACCACTGAATGTTGATATGGATTCCACATTTCACCTTGCAATTACATTTGTAAACACCTGTCAAGTTTTCTGTATTTTTAAAATATCACCTAAAAACTGTTACTGAAACATTTTTTGTAAGGCCGAATATCCCTTAGGTTCTTTTAAACAAAATATATAATGCATTGACTGCAGTAGTTGTGAAAATTCTTCTGTCTTCTAAAACAGCTTAAGAGAAATGTGCAAAATTGTAATTACACTCGAAACCTGTCTTAATATTAAAGTCTTCATGTTGCGATGTTTTTCTCAATGATTGTGTTATGTAATGCAATTATCCTAGTCTTAAACAGACTAATATTATTTAAACCTTTCTCTGTTTAAATGTCTAATGTAGGATATATTGATGGCTTTACATCACATTAAAAAAAATCCTTTTTAAGACCTCTGCTTTTCCAACTGCTAGAGTGGATAAATACAAATAGCAAAATGTATAGTTTGAACATGGGGTGAAAAATAATGTTTTAGGGTAAGAATCATTATCAAGATAAAGAACAAAGTGTCATGAGAGGGTAGTTTGCAATGTGGTAAAAAAGGTCTCATTGGAAAGGTGACATTTCCACAGAGAATTAAAAATGAGAGAGGTGGAGTGGAAGAAATCTCAGGAAAGAATATACTAATGTAAAGGTAGCAGCATGAGGAAAATCTCAAGGTTGAAATATTTTTTCTGTGGTTAAGAGGTAGAGACAGTGGAAGATCATAGGAATAGAGAAACTTGCAAAAGTAATAGGGGCCACTTCATCTTATGCTTAGTTGAAATTGGGAACTGATAGAGGGTTTTGAACAGAAGAGGAGCTTGAGCTAAGTTTCAGAGGATCCTGGTTTTGTAAACCAGACGATCTTGGTTTTCTTTCAGTGAACGCACCGCACGTGCATTCTGGGTGCTGGTAACTAAAACTAACAATACATGTTGGGTAGATAGAAGAAACAGGTGCTCGACCCATTGTCTCCTACTGGGTCACTGTTTTCTTTTTAAGCCCTGTTCCCCGTTTGTTTCAGCCTCAGCTGCGTGGCATTTGTCATATGCCACAGAGCCCCTGAAGTCACAGCGTTGGTCTTGTGCATCATTACTTAATCAGTTTCCAGGATAGGTCTGCACAGGTGAGTTGGGTGATTATATGAATGACAGTTCTGTTTCCTCTGCTGCTACCCAGAAGTTGAAGTCTGATACAACTGCTGCAGCTGTGAGCCAAATAAATCCACACATCCGGGTCATAAGCCATCAGATCCGTGTGGGCCCTGAGACAGAGCATGTGTATGATGACGACTTCTTTCAAAACCTGGATGGTGTGGCCAATGCCCTGGACAATGTGGATGCCCGTAAGTGTTGTGGATGGGTGAGAACCAGGACAGAGCCATGTTTGTGTTTTTGGCGGGGAGTGTCATCTGTACTGATGTTTACTTCCCCTTCATCTGTTGACTCTTTGCCGCAGGCATGTACATGGACCGCCGTTGTGTTTACTACCGTAAGCCACTTCTGGAGTCAGGAACACTGGGAACCAAGGGTAATGTACAAGTGGTTATCCCCTTCCTGACAGAGTCATACAGCTCCAGCCAGGACCCTCCTGAGAAGTCCATCCCCATCTGCACGCTGAAGAACTTCCCGAATGCCATCGAGCACACGTTGCAGGTGATCAGCTGTGGGGGTAGAAAGAGCATCTAGACAATGCCAAGCTCTTTTGATTCCAGTCATGCAAGCCCCAGTCATGCAAGCCTCAGTGTATATAAGATGTGCCCTCCCTTCAAATCTCCTTCGTTCATTTTAGACCTAGTACCCTAACCTTTTTGGAATGCTTTTTCTTAACTTGGGCACTTTATATTGGAAACATACAGGGAAGTGTTATGTATACTATGCAAGACATTTCACATAAGAAGTGTGTATCTAAGATGTGAAGATGTCTGTCTTTCTATAGAGGATACTGTTTTGTTGCTAAACAAAATACAACTTCTTAATATCAGCTCTGCTCGTTATTAAAACCCCTCTACTGAGTACATATTTACGACTAACATTTTGATATTTGTCCAGAATACATTTAGCAGTTTGTTTGTCAGAATAATTGTTTCTATAGTGTGTGTGTGTATATATGTATATATAAGAGCATATCTATCATCTAGATTGACAATGTAAAAGCCTCCCGTTTGCTGCCACTCAGAACCTGTCCCGAATCCCATCTCCTTTTTGGTCCCAAATAACCATCATTTTATCAAAATAATTCCTAATGCAGATTTTGAGTATGTTTAGGAAGTATGGTAGTAGTAAGAAAATGAGAAGAAACAGTTGAATCTGTCACTTTCCCTTGCAGGATGTTTTTACTTAGGGACTCAGTACACAGTGTCTCTCTGCCTGTCCATGCCTCTCATGTTTGTGTGTGTATGTATATATTTATAGTCAGAGACAGAGGGAGAGGTAGTAAGATGTGTTGGAGTGTGTGTCTGTGTCTTTCAGTATGTAAAACCTTTGCAAGATTATGGTTCTGTTACTTTGTTTCTTTCTACTAACACACAGAGAGGCCAGTAAAAGGGCTTTTGAAATGAAGAGCAGGTTTGATACTTGGACTTAAGCTCTTCATGCTTCAGATCCCTTATCTGTAAATTGGAAATGAAAGTAGTAACTCTCACAGGACTTTTGTAAAGAAGTTACATTTGGTATGTCCTTGTGACATTCAAAATAAGTTGAAAATATATACTTGTGTCCTTACTCTATGATATTAACTCCTTGAGGTGTAGATACTAGTGATACAGAATTTTGAAATGAGGATATAAAAGTCAAGATGTACCTGAAGGTCACACAAGTGTGGCAGAGCTGGCATGTGAATCTGGATCTCCACCAACAGGATGGTTTACATCACTTTGCCTGGGACTGTAGTGTCTCTTTAATTCTCAGGGAAAAGTGCTATTATTATTTTCTGCACAGTCCCTGCAAGATCATTCATGTTTTATTTTTGGTGTGAACTTTTCTTTTTTTTAATAATTGAGGCATGACATACCTAGGGTAACGTGTTCAGCCTCAGAATAAGTTTACCACAAAATACACCTGTGTAGTAATCTGCCCAGATTAACATCATTGATTTTTAAATGGAATGGTGGCTGTTTAAAAGTTTGAGGAGTCCCATTGCGGTGGGTTCATTCCTCTGTTTTCCCATAGCAGCTGTGGTTTTCCTGTTTACTGTATTTGCCTGATGATCTCTCTAATGCCTGCAGAAACTTAACTTTGTTTCTCGTATCTCATTTGTTTCCTGTATCTCAATGTACTGTTTTCTGCTCTGTCTGCAGTGGGCTTGGGATGAGTTTGAAGGCCTTTTCAAGCAGCCAGCAGAAAATGTCAACAAATACCTTACGTGAGTACTTTGGTGCAAGTGCCTGCTCACCCTGTCTCTGGCCTGTCAGTCAAAGCATTCTGTAACCATTTAACAGTTAGGACCTACTGTAATTTTTTTTTTTTTTTTTGGTGTAGGGAGGGCCAGGGACACACCAGGTATCACACAGTGGTGTGTGGACACTCAGGGATTGTATCCATACCACCTGTGGCGGAAGCACAGGGGATTCCCTGGTCTACTCTCTGAATAAATTAATGGTTGCTTGGGCCTTATAACTTTGGAAGTCAGGACTGACTTTCCACAGATATAAGCTTACTCGTGGAATCACTTTGTAATTCTGCATTGGTTTCCCTTCTGATTCTTGATAGAGACGCCAAGTTTGTGGAACGAACACTGTGCCTGGCAGGCACCCAGGCTCTGCAGGTGCTGGAGGGCATGCAGCGCAGCTTAGTGCTGCAGCGGCCACAATCATGGGCTGACTGTGTGACCTGGGCGTACTATCACTGGCATACCCAGTACTCCAGCAACATCAGACAGCTGCTGCACAACTTTCCTCCTAACCAGGTAGTAACACAGGGACCATTTGTCAGAATGGTTTTACTGGGAACAGCGTGCCCCAGCGTTTTCTAATATTTTTTAATGTATTTTTAAATGGAGGGTTGTTGCTTTACACTATTGTGTTGGCTTCTGCCATGTTTTTGACGTGATTCATTCCAGTTAATCTGGTTGTGGCAAGCTCAGCAAGGCTTTGAGAGCTCTTAAAATGAATAAGAAAATGATTTTTGAGGTCAAAGACTTGCTACCATTCTCTAATGCCCAGTCACTCTTTCTTCTAACCGTCAGATACTTGGTATCCATTTCCTTTAGACGTAGGATGTGTCATTCCAGATTTCCAGTCAAGACTGTCACAACTGTAGAAGAAAAAATTCAGAGTTAATGGCATAGAATCTAGCTGTGTTCTTTTGGCACAAGTTATGCAGTTCCTCTCTGCACCTCAGTATAGTCATCATGGAATTAGGAAGAGTGATGACCTAATTTCATGAGAGTTTTGTGAAGGTTAATTGCTCTTTGTTAAGTTAGTAAATTAATTTGTTAGTACAGTGCCCGGTGGGCTTCCCTGGTGTCTGAAGTGGCAAAGAATCTGCCTCAAGTGCAGGAGACCTGGGTTTGCTCCCTGGGTCAGGAAGATCCCCTGGTGAAGGGAATGGCTACTCAGGCCAGTATTCTTGTCTGGAGACGCCCTTGGACAGAGGAGCCTGGCGTGCTGCAGTCCATGGGGTCCGAAAGAGTTGGACATGACTTAGCATCTGAACAACAAGAGCACAGTGGCTGGCAGTCTGTAAAAGTTTCATAAATATCTCTCTATCTGACAGAAAGTGAGTGTCAAAGGATAGTGAGTTGGGCCTTCTGGGACTGAAAATGAGGAGTTGTGGTTATCAGAGAGACTTCTTGTGGCAGGTTCTGCTCCCCTAAATGTTTCTGTCTTCTAGCTTACAGGTTCAGGATCCCCTTTCTGGTCTGGGCCTAAACGTTGCCCACACCCGCTTATCTTTGATGTCAACAATGTAAGTCTACTCTCCTGGGTGTCCTGCAGTTAGATGGAAAGTCACTGAACAGGTGGTAAGGAGGCTGAGCCTCTGTAAGGGAGTACAGATGTTCTTTCCCTTCCTTACCTTGCCTTCTCTTAGCCCCTGCATCTGGACTACGTGATAGCTGCTGCCAACCTGTTTGCCCAGACCTATGGGATGATGGGCTCTCAGGACCGGAGTGCTGTCACCAAACTCATTCAGTCTATGCAGGTCCCTGAGTTCACCCTGAAGTCTGGCGTCAGGATCCAAGTTTCTGACCAGGAGCTGCAAACCAGTTCCTCCATTGGTGAGATCCTTTAGCTGGGCTGGAGCCACCCCGCTACTGTAGCCCATGTCCATGCAAGCCTCCTGCACACTCATATTTTGCCCCTGGCTCTGCTCTGAGATCTCCTGTCTGAGATTGATCCACTGCCTTCTTTCCTTCTTCAGTTTCCAGTGGGTTTGATGGAGACAAATTCTCTCTCACACTACTTCTTTCTTCTCCCTCTCTGAGTGGACCATGTCTTTTTTGTGTGTGTTTTTTTCTTTGTTTTCTTCTATTTTCTGTACTACTTTTTTGTGTGCTTCTGCAGTATAAATGGATACGATTTCCACCAGTAGTCCCTCTGCCTGATTTCTTCCCTGGTTCATCTTGACAGATCTCTCTACTTCTCTCTGATATGTATCTTTAACCTGTTACAAATCTGTGTGTATATCTTTCTTCATCTCTCTCTCAATATATTTTTCATCTCTCCAACTGTAACTGTCCCCCAACTCAAAGTTCCATGTCTCCCCTACCCACCTCGTGTTCTAGAAGTCCTTGTCTACATTTTATCTTGTTTGTATCCCTCCGTTTCTTCCTTTGTGTATCTGTCGTCTCCTTATATCTTTTGCATTTTCTGTCTGAAATAGCTACTCTCTCACATTCCTGTTTGTATGTTTCTCTTTATGCATTTCCCTATCTGTCTCCCCTTCAGGTACTTTCTACTGTCTTATTTCCTGTACATTTTTTTTAAACTCCACTATTTATGCCCCTCCTTCCTTCTCAGATATGTCCTGTTTATCCCATTTCACTACTCTCTTCTTTTGTATCGGTGCATTTCCCCGCAATGTTCCTTTCTGTAACTTTTATCCCCTGGTCTCCTGTTTGCTTTTGTGTCTTCCTTCTTATCTCCCCTTGTCTGTGTTGTTCTTCTTTAGGATATCTTATTTTATGTTCTCATTGACATCCTGCATTTGTTTGTTTAATATTTTGGTAAAAAACACAAGAGTTTTACCATCTTAATCATGTTTAAAAATATGCTTAAGTAGCATTAAATACAGTTACATTGTACAGGAAATTTATGGAACTTAACTTGCAGATCTTCAACTCTATACCAGTCAAACAGTAACAACCCAGTCGCCTTCCCCTCTGCCCCTGCAAACAATAATGTATCTTCGGGCTCTATGATTTTGATTTTTAGGTACCTTATGCAATACTTGCCTTTCTACCTCTGGCTAAGCATGTAATTCTGAGGCCATTTGTGCTGTTAAACTGCCAGGATTTCAAACGTTCCTCTTTAAGGAGACTTAGTGTTGCACTGAATTGATAGACCACGTTTTTGTATCCACTCCTTCATCAGTCAGCAACCTGGGTTGCATCCATCTTTATTGAAAATAGTTTTGCTGTCTAAACCTTTCTTAGTGTCTCAGTCGTTTTCCCTCAGTGTCTCTAGTTATACTCCTTTTCACGTCCCACACGCCTGTCTACTTCTTTTCTCTCTGAGGTGTTTCTGCCTTGTCTTTCCTGCTTCATTTTACTTTCTCACGTGATGTCTTTCCTTTATAAATCCTTTATCTGCGTGAAATTCTCTGCCTTACTTTGGACTCCTGCTTTCACCTCAGACCCTGGCCTGGAATCTAATGTGTATCTGAGGACTGACATGTACTACCTCCTCTCGGCAGATGATAACCGCCTACAGGAGCTCAAGGCCATGCTGCCCACCCCAGAGAGCCTTTCTGGGTTCAAGATGTACCCCATCAACTTTGAGAAGGTGCTTGGGAGAGGGGTGCCCTCAGCAGGATAGGAGGATGGGCTGAGCCATCTTTAGCTTTTGTGGGGTTTACACGTCTACCATATAGCCCTTTTTTTTTTTTTTTTTGGTGGTCTGGGACATCTTTGGCCGCACTGGCAGGTGATGGGGGAAGATAGCTGTTGGTCCATAGTACTATCTAGAAAACCTTTTGTTCCTGATCTGCTTCCTCTATTCTTCCTCTGTCTCTACTCAAGAAAAGGATGATGACACCAACTTCCACATGGATTTCATTGTGGCTGCATCCAATCTCCGGGCAGAGAACTATAACATTCCCCTCGCAGACCGACATAAGGTAACAAAAATTTGGATCTAAACTTGAACCCTTTCTAAATTTGAATCTGCCACATACGACCTTTTCAGTGGGCTGTCAGCTTCTCTTAACAATCACCTCTGCTCGTCACATTCTGTGTCATAGAGCAAGCTGATTGCAGGGAAGATCATCCCAGCCATTGCTACAACCACAGCAGCTGTAGTTGGCCTTGTTTGTCTGGAGCTGTACAAAGTGGTACAGGGACACCAACAGCTTGAGTCCTATAAAAATAGCTTCATCAACTTGGCCCTGCTCTTTTTCTGCTTCTCTGGGCCCCTTGCCCCACCCCGTCACCAGGTAAAGTCTTGTATTTATGGAAACCTTCGGTATTATGCTTCAGTGCCTGATACATGTATGTATATGAGTGGGAAGTATATGTATCTTATCCTTGGAGAACTGGCTCTGGTTTTCATCATTCTGGAGGTTTGCTTTAATTTTGTTCACCCTGTGTTCACTGTTGGAACCTGTGCACTGTGCAAATGAAACTCATATTTGTGGTTTAAAGAGAGTGTAACCTGGGCTTGTCCCCCTGATTTACTCTGCTGTGCTTTCTCCTGCAGTTTTATAACCAAGAGTGGACACTTTGGGATCGCTTTGAGGCCCAGGGGCTGCAGCCTAATGGTAAAGAGATGACCCTCAAGCAGTTCCTTGACCACTTTAAGGTAAGACCCCTTCTTCACTTACTACATGTAGGGTAGTGCTTGTCCAGGTCCCTGGTATTGTCCATCCTAGTGACACCGTTGCCCCTCCTTTCTACTGTCTTCAGTCAGAGCACAAATTGGAGATCACCATGCTGTCCCAAGGTGTATCCATGCTCTACTCCTTTTTCATGCCACCCAGCAAGCTGAAGGAACGGATGAATCAATCGTGAGTTGGGCCCACTGGGCAGGGAGAAAGATTCTCGTCCTGTCTCGGCTAGGAAGCATCAGCTATCTATGCAACTCATGTTTACTGTTTTCCTCAGTTATTTGCCCCTTTATGTCCTTTCCTCTTTTTTCACTTACCTGACCCTGTTATTCCTCATACTAGGATGACAGAAATTGTGAGTCGAGTATCAAAGCGAAATCTGGGACACCACGTGCAAGCATTGGTGCTTGAGCTGCGCTGCAATGATGAGGATGGCGAATATGTGGAGGTTCCTTATGTACGATACACCATTCACTAATTCCTTTATTTTTCTCTTCCATGTTTTCAGTCTGCTCAACTTTCTGGCATAAGCTGAGCCTTATGTCCTTTTGAGAACTTCTTGTTGCTGCTTGCTATGTGTAGTGTTGGGATTCTTAATAAAGAGGAGTTCATCCAAGCGTGTCCTATCCTACCTTTGGCAGAGGCCCAAACCTAGTTGTCTTTGGAAGGAGTAGGTTCACATATTAATCCAGAAAGCTCCGCACTGCACCAGTGTGGAATTTCTCCCAAATTCAAGGTTATCAGATAAGATTACATCCAGTTGTTCTGCCAGATGCTTGCCTTGGTCCATTTTCCTCCTGTCCTCTGCTTACAGAGAAACAGAGACATTTCTAGGTTGGATGTAGAGCATATCTAGTCTTACCCGTTAACATTAAATCTGGTTGAAGTTCTACTCCCTTCCCTTCCCACAAGTATCTTGCCATAACAGTTTTCAAGGTGGTAGACTCTGGGTCTGGATTATGGGTCTGAATTCTAAATCTTGCCAGGGTGAATATTCTTTGTTTCATCTCTTGAATGATCGGGTGAAGAGTTGTTTGGAAGAATAAAAAGATTTTATTAATACCTATAAGTGCTGCAAGTAGTAGTGCACATGATACTTTTTTTTTTCAGTGAGAATATACAGAGCTTGGTCGTCTTCTAGCTTACTTGCACTCAGGATGGTTTATAATCATGCTTTTTACCTGTGCGGGAGCCTCATCTTAAGCTCTGCTCAACTGTTTAATGTACTTAAGATGTCTCGTACACTTAGGAGGAAATTATCGACCAGACAAGAAATGTCCCTTTGTGCTGTACCCTGCTTCCCTCATCTGTCGGTCTCCCTTTTTTTCCCTTGAATGTCAGCAGACTGGGAAGATGTAAAGGACTTTTTCTCATAGGTCAGCAGTGAGAGTACCAACAGTGGCCACACAAGCACTGTCAAGCATACCAGGCACACTGTCCAGATGGCTGAAGAAATGAGTGTTTTCACCTGCCACCGTGTCCCTTCCTTACCCTCTGGTACCAGCTTGGGTACTTAAAGGTAACTACTCATACCCTCTGTATGTCACCCAGATATGTAGGACCCTTGTTCTTACACACCACTTGGAAATATCGCTTATTCTTCCACTCAGACCTGGGTATTGCAACTAGCTCAGCCAGTCCATAAACCAGGCAGGCCTGTCCAAATCCGGGCTACTGTCTGGGCCATCTGCAGGCCAGACACTGTGTATGTCCTTGACTCTTCAGGACCACACAGGCCCAGTTAATCTGCTGGGTGACCTCAGTTCTTCCATACATTCTTTTAGTTCCCAGAAAACCTCGGACACAAGGAACAGCATTTCTTTACCTCTGGTGTCTTACTGAAGGGCAGTGCTAGTTGCCAAGCTTAAAACAAGAAGTTTCTCCGGGATAGGTGCTTTTACATCATTGTTGCTCTACATCCCTGAAGACACTAACATTTGTCCACTGTTCCCATCATCCTAGTGTTCGAAGGTTGCCTAGAAACTGTATTCTTCTCTTTTTTCCACTCTCATAGGTTCAGATCCTCTAGCACAGCATTGTGGGATTGTCCAGACAAATAGTTCTGTTGCTCAGCACTGTAACCCTTAAACCTCGTGTGGCTGTGTAGCACTTGAACTGAGGCTACCACTACTGATTAACTTAATGCTTCATTTTTTTTTTGTAAATTGAAGCATCTACATGTAGAAAGGAGTTATGCACTGAAAAGAAAAACTTCCCTGCTCCTTGGCCTCCATGTAGATCAACTCGTGAATCATTCAAGCCATACACACTGCCAAGGATGAGACCCAAGAATTCACGTGACGACTATCAGGCTGAGCAGTGGGGCATGTTCAGAAGGACCACTAATACCTAGTCCCTGGAAATGAATACCAGCAGGCTCTGAACTGACCCCAGGGCCTTCCCTGTCTCCTACTGCCCCAAGGTCCCTTAGGACAAGCAGCCAGCCCACCATCCTTGCTTCCTCCCTGTTCCCTCCCTCACAGGCACATGCTGGCAGAGGGGCACACATGTACACCCTACACCTGCACTTTCTCACCTTTCTGGACTGCCAGGGAGGTTGCCAAGTGCCTGGAGGCATTCCACACTCACCCCCTGTCTCTGCTAGGATGCCTGGGTTTTCACATGGACAGCCTACCTTAGCCCATCTCACATTTTGTGTCGCATCATGCCATTGTGTGCCTCCCTTGGGAAGGGAGCATGCTGCCTGATGGGCTGATCCTGGGCAGCACTGGCCCAGGACCTTCCCGGGTATCCTTCTCAGGTGTGTGGAACAAGTCTCCAGTGCAGCAGGCTCTCTGTGCCTGTTCCTCCTTCGGGTCTCTGCCCTCTCTTCAGGTCCTTAGCGTCCTCACCATCCTGGGTCCTACTGTAGCTATGTCCACCATTTCCACAGACTGGCACATTTCCCCACAAACTGAGCAGTCCACAAGCAGTGGTTTCAAATCCCCACCCCATCTGATTTGCTCTGGGTGAATCCTCATACCTTACAACCCCAACACAAGAAAACACAGCAGAAATTATAATCGTGTTTATCTGTTGATTTAATTTTGATCTAAATGCAGATTTGTGCAGCCCTGGTCCAGAGTTATCTCTGGCCATCCTTCCCTCATTCCTGTCCTGAACAGGGGCACTGCAAAGGTAGGTCAACCATCCACCCCATATCTGGGGACCTTCCATGCCTCCTCTTTAGGTTGTTCCTTGTCTCAGGTCCTTTCACTTTCATCACTGCATCAGCCCTGGGCGACACAAACACAGGCACACAGAGGCACATAAACAAACCAACACAGGTGACACAAACACATGCATGTACACACAAACATGTATGACACAGGGACAGAAAGGCAAAGAGGAAATACAGGTGTTTCAGTAGCTGGAGATGCTACTTAGTGTCAGGGGAAGGATGCTTATACAAAGATGCTTAATTCACCCTGCCTCTAGGAGAATCATCTAGGACTCTTGCGTTGCAACCATACCTGCTTTGAGGGAGACTTCTTCACTTATGTACATACAGAGCCCCCAAGTCCCCAGTCTCAACACAACACCTGCTACATGCATGACCTGAATACAGGGTCCACAGCCAGCTTGCATGAGCCTAAGCATCCCCATTTGGAAAGGACAGTGTCCCAGCCTCTACACAAACATCACTTCAGGGCCCACCTCCAGATTCCCTCACCACCTGTGTTTCTATCATTTACCTCTCATGGCAGAACCTTCTTCCCTGGGGTAGTACTTTAAGGGATCATCCCACATGTCTTCAGCTATGATCTGCTGGCAACATGAGCAAGGTCAGCCCCAGGCTGACCAGGCCCCTAACCCTCCTGTGAGCAGCCAAGAGCTCCAACATCAATTGCCAACTGTGTGTGGGCCGAAACCAAACCCATCTCAGCAATCCTGTTTGATTCTGGGCAGTTGTGGCCTGACAACCAGTTGAGAAAGTTAAGGCTCCTGGTGTCTGGGTCCTGTGGCTGGGTCCTCCCTGTTCAAAGTCCCATAACCAGTGGACTAGAGTGGAACAGCATGCCCTATACCCTGGACAGAGGCAGGGGATACAAGGGCAGATCCCGCAGGTGGAGCATCCACCCGCTTGCACACCCACACTCACCACCCCGGGAGACATGTTAACCAGTGATATCAAGGTAACACTCCTTAATAAGCACCATGTTCCAGTAGTACAGGTTGTCCCGAAAGGAGAAGATCAGATTGCTGCGGGACCGTGGAAGGCTCCACACCTGCACCTGCCAGCACAGGGAGGAGGGAAAAGGTGCAAGCTCCTAGGGACCTCAGCTTGCCTCCCAGGCGGGCATTAATAGCCTCCATGATACCTCTCCAAAGTCTCACAGCACAGGCCCATGGATAACACTATCCCCCAACTCCTCATCAAGTGCCATACCCACCCGTCCTCAGTCTCCCTCACTGACATTCAAGTCTATCATGTAGCTAAGAAAGTCTTCATCTTGGGTGCTGATTACGATGGACACTTGAGGGTGGTTCATAATCTGCTTTAGGTCAAGGAGCCATTCAGGCCACATGCCAGGCCAAGTAGAGCCAGGAGCAACAGCCCTAGTCTGGGCTGGAAGAAGGACACTGGATCAGGCATCTGCAAGGATGCTGGGCACTCCCACTTCCCTGGCCACCACTGACATCTTCAGGCCCTGCCATACCATCAGACATGCTCGTCGTGGCTCTGGCTTACCTGTGGAGATCTGCATTTCAGGTGGTCTGCATCCCACAAGCAGGGGCTGTTTCTGGCCGCTACTGTCCTCCTCCTGACCGGTTTGTTTTGGATAGTGTTAGGTAACTGCTTACATGGTCAGGACTTGCTGTCCTTATGACAAATCGTACCTCAAAGAAAGTGGTGTGTGTGTGTGTGTGTGTGTGTGTGTGTGTGTGTGTGTGTGTGTGTGTGTGAATCCCATGTCTAAGCAATTTCCTGGGATCATCCACATTTACAATAACTCTGTACGATTGCTGCTCTCATGGACTCTCTCTGGTCATTCCTGACTTAGAGGCCTTGGATGCTGCTCCTGCCTCAGATGCAGGCCTGAAGGAGACACCCAGAGTCATGGCTGCGACACTTACAAGTGTGGCCCTTCCCAGATTCGACTCAGCTATGCCTTTGGAACCTGCCACTGCCCAGAACCACACTTCCCTCAGGGGCTTCCATCGCCCTTCCTGTGTCCTCGCCCCCACCCATCCTCCTGCTTCTGCCCCTCCTCCTCTTCCTCCTGAGAGGCAGACCACTAGGAGCAGCAGGAAGGGTACAGCTTTGGACCAGAAGCCATGGATGACCCTGGATGATGGCAGTCCTCCGAGCCAAGTGACGCTTCCACCCCTGATGGTTCTTGTGCATGGACCAAAGCTGGTCCCCGCGGTTTTTCCCATGCTCAGAGCTCAGTTCCACCTGCAGGGCGGCCAGTGCCTGCAGTGCATCTAGCACCGGCCTCTCACTTGGGTCTCCGGGCCTTTCCTATGCCTACTCCTCCACCGTTTTCTTCTCCAGCTCCTGGAAGGACGCTATTCCCGCTCCTCATCTGCCACAGCCTCCACCTCTTCCATAATGTGTTCCCCCAGCCACTGGCACTCCCGCCCGATCCCCGCCTCCTCTCCGTCCACCAGGTCCCTGCCGTGCTCCATCGCCTCCACCATGTAGAGGGTGACCTCTTCGCCTGGTGTGCCAACTGGTGGCTGCAAAGTCCCAGCCGTGCACAGCATCACGATGGCAGGCCATGTGGCCACTGCCCCCTGAGCACCTGGGCTCCCAGCTAAGAAAGTCCGGAGTCCCGGGACGCTGCTGCCTTCCTCTGGCCACCTCTCATGCTCCTCTTGGCCCTGGCCATGACCCCGAGCTGTGGCAGATGCAAAAGGACCGGACATAATAGCACAGCAAGTGGTGCGCGTTGGCGGCCACGGCGGCAGTAACCAGGTGGGGCTCGCTAGCTCTTTGTGGGCGGGGTGAGAGGGGAATGGTTGGGACGTGGGGGCTGGTGTGTTGCAGGTGGCCTGAGGCTGAAGAAAGGCGTTCTGGATAGGCCAGGACAAGATGCACTGGCCCTGGGAGATCAGCCCAATGTATGGGACGCCTAGGCTGTGAGCCATGCTCAGGCTGCTGGGTCAAATCTGTACCAATGGCAGAGAGGGCAGTGGGCGGCACCCCCTGATAGACACACCCCTAGAGCAGAGGGCAGCTTTCCCTCTTCTAGGCTCCAGCGTCCCCACTGGCCACATTCAACTCCAGGAAGGGCGACGGTTTTGCATCTGGCGCTACCCCCGGCGCTGTTACGCAATTGGTCTCTGGAAATTCGAACCGAGTTCCCACTCTGCAAGAGCACACTCCTGTGCCCCATGGGACCCTCAACCCCTGGGAGCTCTCCCTGAGCATCCAAAGGATAGGCAGGGGTGCAAAGTGGCTGGATACTTTCCTCCCGAGGACAGGAGCCTGTCACTGTCTAGACGGTAGGGGAGTGGGTACAAACCCCAACGTTTGCAATAGTTGACCCCCAATGTTCAGGGGTATCACAGCCATAGGGTACGGATCTCTCTGTGTCTCTTTACTCTGCTCACATAGTACTGTGTCTGGCAACCCTTCTGTGTGTGTACCAGCGGCTGGTGTCTGTGTGTCTCCGTCTCTCTAAGTGCCACTCTCTGGACACCAGCTCTGAGAAGAGACTCTTAACCTTGGAGTGAAGGCAAGCCCTTGTTCACCTCAGTGAGGTGCACACACGGGAGATCAGAATATTTTTAGTCCACACAGTTGGAGAGTGCTTTCTCAAACTTGAAAGCCAACAGTGGGAGGTCACTACTGAACCACATATAGAGACGGGCAAACAGCCCACAATTGCTGGGTTGACATGAATGCTACACAAATTGCCACGGCTTGGCCACATCTTGCACAGTGGGAGGGAAGGGCCATGCTCTGTTGGCATGAGGGAACTCCCTGAACCTTGTTCAAATGCCTGCCAGTGAGACGCTAAGGACACCTCACCGTTAAGTTCCACAGCTCAGTGCCGGAGCCATGCATGTCTGCCCATTTACCTTATCCTGGCTCTTTGAAAGTGGTTCTGTTCTCCCGGTGAGAACACATCCCAGCCTATCCTGTCGTCCAGCCCTGCCGGGCCGGGAGCAGCAAGAGGATCAACCAAAGCCATCCTTCCTGTAGCCCTCATACCCGATATAGGTGTTCTGCAATGAGTACAAAGAGTGATGTTTCACACTGGAAGATTCTGCAGGTAGCAGGTGCTTATGCTCCAGTGCTGCTGCATCTCTGCAACCTTACAGAAAAGTCAAGGGGTGCTCACGCTCCTGACCAGGTCATGGAAAGAATGCCCTGCACTTGAGAAGGACGCAAAGGCCCTCATTGCTAGATGTCCAAAGGGCTGTTGGCTCACCCACCACGGCTTCTGTGTCTGAGACTGCAGCCCAGTCTGTGTCTCGTCCCCTCTGCACTGACGGATCGCCCCCAGGTGATTTCCTCCTGCCTCTCCTTTCTGCCAGGGGTCCTGGCTACAGGACTCTATTTCCATTTAGAACTTGCTAATTCGGTGAGATCAAAGGGCATGATTCCCTGGCTTCACTGCTTCTGCTGGCAAGAGTCTATGTACCTTTCACTAGTACCTTCATGTTTCCACTATCCATTCTTCCATCACCTAGCTAGGTCTCTTCCGACTGATCATACGCACAAGTGTACTGGCAGGTGCTTCTGCACACATATGTGCACCCACGTCCACGTGTACACACTCACATCCCTGAGAGGAGACTTACACATATGCAGAAGTACAGGTTTTCTTGTCCAGGAACATGAATTTTGGTAAGCACCCAACTTTGTTCGGGTTATTTTCTTTCACTTGCTCATCAATCCTGTCAGGTTGCACTTCTAACTCTGTGACTTGTCTTCAAGGGCTACAAAATCTTGGCATTTGTTCATGACAGGGACCGACCTGCAGAACGTTGGGCAAGCCTGGAAGTGCTCGCCATGGTCAGCTGAGTGACTTGCGCCTGTGTTCCACATTCTCCCATACGTTTGGGCAGGTTCACAGTACCAGTCACATTGGCATGATTCCGTTACCTGTGCATTCTTTCAGGGAACCAGAAAACAAGGGCCATTGGGCTCAGCTGGCTTGGAGAACTGCTTTCTCGGTGTGCACCTCTCTACATCATTCCTTGTCAAGTCTGTGCCCCATTGCAAGCCTATCATCTGTTAGGGCCCACAACATTCTGGCTGAGGTCCCCTGTCGTCCCTATCTCTGGAGCTTTCTGTGTGCACCTGTCTACCTATGCACCCAAGCACTGTCTCCCTGAAGCAGGAAAAGGCCAATGAGATGCCCGAGCCTCCAAGAGCCCAAAGAGACCGTGGCAGGCCTGGGACTGATGCAATGTTGTGAAGAAGGTACACATGCATCTACAGGGTCTCTTACAATACAAGGCATGGGACCTGAGGCCAGAAAGGTAAGGCGGCATCCCTAGATAGTCCCGTCAGTTTACTACTATCCAGACCCATGGAGTCCCGAACGGATGATGCCCTGTGAAACCGGCCCTTTTAGGCCCACAGCTCATGCCTCCCTTGGGCAGAAAGCAGCATTTCCATCTCAAATGCATCAAGAGGGCTTGATTCCACCCAAGGCCTCACTCATTTGATAAATGCCAAGGCTTTATTTCAGTTGATCTCACTATGCCCAGGTAGGACTCTTGAAAGCCAGGCATCCCTGCTTGCCTGGCCCAGCCCACACGCCAAGGAAGGCAGTCCCCAGCTAGGCCCAGGGACATCCAAAACGGTCACCTGGAAAGCACAGTCCCTCTGAGTGTCGCCTGGTGCTGATCCCCCAAGACAAAATCGGAGATTCTGCTCCAGTGAGACTGCCAGAATCCACCCTCAAGGTCAGACCATCACCTTTGCCACTCTGGCCTTACAGCCAGGGACAAGACCCCAGAGGAGGGAAGGAATTCACATCAGGACTTTCAGCACGAGCCATGGGGTATCTTGTCAGAACCACTATTGTCGAGCCCCTGGATCCTGAAAACCAGCAGGCTCTGAACGGACCCCAGGGCCCTCCCTGTCTCCCGCTGTCCCAAGGTCCCTTGGGACAAGCAGCCAGCCTACCATCCTTGCGTCCTCCCTCTTCACAAGCTCACGCCAGCAGAGGGACACAAATGTACACCCCGCAAGTGCACTCTCCTCGCCTTTCTGCACTGCCAGGGAGGTTGCAAGTGCCCGGTGGCATGCCACACTCACACCCTTTCTCTGCTAGGATGCCTGGGGTTTTGCACGGATAGCCTACTTCAGCACAGCTGACATTTTGTGTCATATCATGCCAATGTGTGCTCCTTTGGGAGGGAGCGTGCTGCCTGATGGGCTGATCCTGGACAGCACTGGCCCAGGACTTCTCCCATGTATCCTTCTCAAGTGTGTGGAACAAGTCTCCAAGGCTGCAGGCTCTCTGTGCCCCCTATTTCTTTGGGTCTCTGCCCTTCTCCACAGGACCATAGCCTCCTCACCACCCCGGGTCCTGCCATAGCCACGTCCAGCATTTCCATCGACTGGTCCACACTGCCACAGACTGAGCGGTCCACAAGGAGTGGTTTCAAAGCCCCACCCCATCTGATTTGCCCTGGGTGAATCTTCCGACCATCCAATCCTCCACCTGCTCCAAACACACAAAATAACATGGTAGAAATGGTGGACGTGTTTTTGTCTTTGGTCTAAATTGCAGACTTGTGAGCCATGGTCTGAATTATCACTGGCCATCCTTTCCTCAAACTCCGGGAGTTTGTGATAAACAGGGAGGCCTGGCATGCTCCAATTCATGGGGTCGCAAAGAGTCAAACATGACTGAGCAACTGAACTGACTGACTGATCATTTCCTCTTTCCCATCCTGGACAGGGTCACTGCAGAGATACGTCGGCCAACCACCCTCAGTGTGGGGACGCCTCATGCCTCCTCTTCTGGTTGCTTGGCACATCCTCTCCTGGTGTCTTCATCTGTGCATCTCCCCTGGGCCAGAAACACACACACACAAACACACAGACCCACGTAAACACAGGCGACACAAGCCCACGTTTGTATATACACACATATCCTCGGCACGGGGACACAAACGCAAACAGGGAACACAGCTCTCTCAGTAGCTGAAGACGCCCATGCCCAGCAATGTGGGAGATGGCATCAATAGGCACCATGTCCTTCCCTTGGGGCCCCCTGTCCACCTCATCCCGCAGCTCTTCCGTATTTTCCCAAGCCGGCCTGAAGCCAGTTCCAGTGCAGCCTGCGTGGTGGCAGTGAGACAGCGAGGGGTGGATGTGGAAATTCACAGATGACCACAAAGTCAGCCCTCAAGTGCAGTGGGAGCCCGGAGAGGACGCCCTTCCAATCATAGGCTATCCCAAGACGAGTGGCGGGAAGGACAGACCCAGACAATCTCAAACTCAGTGAGCAGCAGGAGGCCGGGGATGGTGGGATTGACGGAAGGATGATTCTGAAAAAGCTAACTTCATTCACCCTGCCTCTAGGAGAATCACCTATGACTCTGGCATTGCAGCCACAGCTGCTTTGAGGGAGACTTGCTTCACTCACAGACACACCGAGTCCCCAAACCTCCAGTTTCAGCACGTCACCTGACCGAACCCAGCCTCCACAGCCAATTGCGTGAGCCTTAGGATTCCCACTGGGGAATGGACAGTGCCCCAGCTTCTACACAGCTGTCCCCTCGGGGCTCCCCTGCAGACCCCCTCACTACCTGTGTTTCTGTCAGTTATCATTCATGGAAGAAGCTCACTCCCTGGGGATCGTCCCACATGTCTTGGCCGATGATCTGATAGCAATAAGAGCAAGGTCAGCCCAGGGCAGACCAGGCCCCTAACCCTCCCGTGAGAAGCCAAGAGCTCCAACATCAATCAGCAACTGCGTGCGGGCCCAAACCAAACCCACCTCAGCAATCCTGTTCGATTCTGGGCAGTTGTGGCCTGACAATCAGTTGAGAAAGTTAAGGCTCCTGGTGTCCAGCCTGTGGCTGAGTGTTCCCCGTTCAAAGTGCCAGAACCTTTGGACTGGAGTGGAATGATGTGTCCTTTACCCTGAAGAAAGACAGGGGAGACAGGGGCGGAT